AAATATACCTTACTTCAATATCTTCTGTCGCAATTATATCGTTGGGCAATTATACTGTATATAAACTGCGGGCATCGGGGAGCCGTTATTAATATGCGGGGCACTGAAATCGCTTATGAACGCGCGCTTGTTTTTTACTTTCACTTTCGAGATTCATGATCACACGTACAGAGCAGCACTCTGCAGTACTTACCACACATTTGTTATTCTCTCTATGCTATTTTTCAATGTTTCAAGTGATGCAGGTGTTTTTTTCCTTGTAGGTTTTTTAAATAAAAAAAACATGAATTTTTCATAATGTTTAGTGACCCTGGCCTGCAGAAAAGAACATTTATGTTTAATCTATCTAATAGTGTGTTGGTCATACTATACAATGATTTATAGCTTGTCTTTGTTGAATAATACAGAACATAAAGAGCTTTAAAAAAAATTATTGCATATTAAATCGCAATCGCAATATTGGTAAAAAAAATCGCAATTAGATTATTTTCCAAAATCGTTCAGCCCTAGTGGTAAGTGAAATGTTATGTACTGTAATAGATCGCGTTGTTTTCCACACCTTTCTAAACACTGATTCAGCCACACCTCTTACCCAGTCGGGCGTGTTTGTGTCCGCACAGAACTCTTATTTGACATCGTCCCAAGTTACTGTAACTGTTATATGCTACGCAAGTCTTTTTTTTTATGCCACGCAAGTCTACAGTCGTGAGACAAAGTGCTCAGCTCTTCTGTTGTCTTTGACAGCTTTTAGGTGCGTTATTGGCAGCGCCACATGAACGCGTCACCACCGCATCTGCACGGAAAACATGGGGAAATTTAAGACAATAATCGCACAACCTATTCGATATTCTATAATTAAATCAACTAATCGAATATTCGAAAATCGCGACCCATCCCTAGTTGGTATTAGAGCCTGACCGATATATCGTTTAGCCGATATTATCGGCCGATATAACGACGAATATGCCGCCGATACGCACATTTTTTTTTACAGAGCATATAACGCAGATAAAATGCTTGAAATGGTGTAATTACTTAGTTTGTCCAGCAGAGCGCGCTCCATTGTTTGCTACTGGCAACCTGGATGAAACGCTTTAAAGCTTAAGTCTATGGAAAACCATTGAAACTTTGAACGGCCATATCTCCGTAACGGCGTGGCGGATCCGCACCAAATTCGGGTGATCCCTTCAGCTCGAGGAACCCTCTCGAACGTGAATCGAGTGTACATCTCGAGGCCCTCTTTCGAATGAGACCACCCCCACGTCGATAGCCCCCGGGGTTTGGGAGTTACGGGCGGTTAAATTTGCGGTCCGGTGCCGACCAATCTAGCGATCCCGGGGGGGCTACCGACGAGCAGAGGGTGGCGTTCGAGAGGGCTCCTCGAGCTGAAGGGATCCCCCGAATTTGGTGGAGATCCGCCAAAGGCGTGTTCGCGAGATAGTGACACCAGCCAACACTTTCACTTTAGTAAGGAGGTCTCTTGTTCAGGCAGCAGCATTCAAGCGTCGTCTTATTCGACCGTAAGTGCAAAAAATGTGTTTATGTATATATATTCTGTTTATGTATATACTGTATTCTATATATAGTACCAGTCAAATGTTTGGACACACGAATGGGAAAGTGTCCAAACTTTTGACTGGTACTGTACTATAATATACACAAAGAATATCGGCCGATATATCGATATATTATCTATATATTTTTTTTACTCCCAAATATCTGTATCTGCCCCAAAAAACCCATATCGGTCAGGCTCTAGTTGGTATATGCTGTTATAGCCATTATCCTGTACTTTCACATCTTATTTCATAAATAATCATGGTTAACAACAGGAATCCTGGCAAGAAACCACATTAGCCATGATTCTGAGAAAATCTCCACCAATCAGAGAATCAAAACAACCAAAAAAACACTTTAGCGCCCACCTACTCCCATGAAGCACTGTGATTTATGTAGACAGTCTCTTTAAGCTTTCAAAATACTTAAATATCTGTATGCATAATATGCATATTTTGCATTGAATTATTATATATAGAAACCACCTATTTTCAGCATCTTTAAATCAATAGCTTTACATTTCTCCGTTGTTTTTTATTTGATTACATGCTTCATGGGATTGGGATGGGATTGTAGTTCATTCCCTCAGTTGTCTTTGTTTATTCAAATCAAAAGTTATGACAACTCAAATACTTTTTTCATCTCTATGGGAAAAATAATTACAGTACCAAAGCCACTGAAAAAGTGGGTGGACACTGTTGTACTCAATATTGACATATTGGCTGTGTCTCAAAAGCTATTAAATTGCCTACATAGACGTGTGCAGGCGTACATGACGCCTAAAAAAGTTTTAGGCACAGCCATTGTCCTCATAGATTACATGCACTTTACAGTCGCCTGCTGCCTGATCAGGTTCGCCATTACATGACCCAAGCGCCAGAGACACCCGGAAACAAGTGCTCCTGAGCTCGGGCGGCTGTATGCACACCTCCCGGAAGTGGGTAGAGATACCGTAACTGGTTGCCCATGACCAACGCATGCGTTTGCATCACGATAACACGAACAGGTAACAAAAGACGTGCGCCTTTGCCCACTAGCAAACCACAGCAGGAGGAGGGAGTGCGTTCCCTGTCACTAACGGTGTACATGAACCCGTTGACATCAGACGGTCGTGAAATAGACGCGTTTATTTGAATTGTAACCCAATTCACGACATGGGAATCGGTGAGGGGCGGAACTGTCTGGCAAGGCTTTGATGAAACATTGTAATGACTGTTACACGGTCTATACGGTTAAATAATGCTGGTTTCCAACGGAAACCAACACAAACGGGTATGTGAAACGCACGAACCTGTACCTGTGAGTCCGCGAGCCGGCTCTGCGCTATTCTACAGGTCCTCTTCCCGTTAACAAAAGGCCCGGGCCGTCTGGACAGGAAGAGCGCTACAGCAGGAGGAAGACCGGGGAGAGGAGGGGGAGCCACTGCCTTATAACAAAGCCCTCAAAATCACTCGTTACACCTCATAACGCCGAAATATAAACGCGCAATAAGCTAAAACGGTTCCGGATGAAAAGTCAGTTTCGGAACAGAGGGTTACTCACAGGTGGAGGATGCGGATGGTGACGGATTTCAGCCCCAGTTCGCAGCAGCTCCCTAGCTTTCACACCGACAACATGGCGCCTCGATCCAAGCAGACGCGCGCGGGGCATCATGGGTAGAATGAGAAGGAGCGCGTGCGGTTCATTGCGCCAAGAGGGGAGTGTCGCCCTTTGTTGTGCTCAAGACACATACAACAATGTACAGATTTACAGGCGCCTCATAATGTGTGACATGCATCCTTACACAGTGAACCAATGCCGGCGTTTGAAAATAAAGTACTGGGTTTTGTTCCCATTATGAGAGAGCAGAAGTGTTTAAATCTAGTTTTTACTTTATCTGTTGTTTTGGGCACGACTCAACCCATTTAATTTCAGTTTAAAATGTGAGCACATGTACTATTTTACACCATTATAGCCAATAATCATACCTGGCCTGATTTTTTTCCGTCAGCGAATTGTGGCAGTTTTATAAAATAAGATACAATAAAATGCAGTCACAGGTGTCTGATTAATAATGAGTTAAATTTATGATATTATTAATAGTTATCAAAATAAACACCAAAAAGTTATATTTTATATAGGCTACTTATAAGTCTACAATTTTGTAATGTGAATCAAACAACAACGGACATGTTTTCATGAACTATAATCTCAGTACCTTTAAAATAGTGTTAATATTATGAATAACAGATGGTTTAATTATTGTATGTACCACAATTTGTAGCTGCATGAGTGTTTTGGTATATTTCACATGCCTTTACGAGTTGCAGACTGTTAGAAAGTAAATTTTGTCACAAATGTTATTATTTTTTCTACAAAGTTGCAAAAACACACTTATTAATTGCTCTCATGTGAATGAAACAGCTGTTGTTCAAAATGTGATCACTGTCACGTGGTATAATCTCAATACCTTAAGACAAAGTGAATAATGTGTTAATAATAGACCCTTTAACATATTATTATATATTGTAGATATATTGTAGTTGTATGTGTATTACATTTTAAGGATTGTTATGCTTCTATTAGTGACAGCTGGCTAGGTGAATAGTGTAAAAATATAATAAATAGATCACCATACTTCCCCAGTTGATTATTCATATTACATTAAGATAATTGTTTTGTATTACAAGTTTTCTGAAATGTTATGTTTAAATATGCACTCAAATATGCATACATTTCCAGAACAGAAATCTGAACATTAAAGCCAGGTTCAAAATTTTTGTTTCATTTTGTTGACATATTTTTAAAGAGAGGATTTTAATCTTTTTTTTTATAACTCCGTAAATCAGAAAATACAGTCATGTACTAATATACAACATGTACTGCAATTGAAATCTACAGATGCAAATAAACAAAGTGTAAAACGCTTGTGTGTATTTTGGATGTTTTCTTTCCACTAGTCTGAAGGAAGACACGTTACGAAAGCAAAATAGTCCAAAATTGATTAGTGCATGAAAAAAAAACAGGTTTTGCCTGTAGTGTCTTGCCTTGAAAGTAAATTTAGTCACACATTTTACCAGTGGGATCAATTAATGTTTCTTTTCTCTACAAACAGCTACACAAACCATGAGTTAGTCGAAAAGATGCATGTTCCTCATTATAAACGTTCTGAAATAACAGGCTGTTTGAAATGTGAGCAGCTACTTAACTGCCTTTGTGTAAAGATCAGGAGGACATTGGCTGCGAGCGAGCTATTTCAAATGACATTCAATGAGATAAAACAGGTCTGTCCATTGTCTTCCTATCTGATTCACAGCTCTCCCTAGGGAGCACTAGTTTTATACACTTAGCCCTGTGAAAACGAGGCTTTTTATCCTCATCCATATGCATTTGAGAGAATAAAAATTGTGTTTTATTTCACACAAGCCCTCTATGGTGCGTTTAGAAGTGACCAAGACAAAGAATAATCTAGAAAGAGTTTATTATGCTGAACAACTGTCCCACCCTTCAGGTGTGTCCCTCTCGCACCCACACTCTCTCTCACTCACTCATACAAACACAGCCTTCCTGAAACAAGTATTGTACATTAACATACATTCATTCTAAGCTTGTGTTCAAATAAACATTTATGGCTAGTCACATTATGCGTTAGGTGCATAAGTACATATCAAAACTTGTAGTCCGTGTACATCGACACAATCATGCACGCAGACACATGTGGGCCACCCAGAGGCACAACTCCTCTATCGTGAGTTTTTACATGCACAAAATCCTACAGCATTCCCCAAATACACATCTACCCAACCTAAAACATTCATCTAACACATTACATTATAGTGTCTTATATCAGAGTATAAACCATCTTTCTCCTACACACACACACACACACACACCAGAAAGAGCTGAACGGGCAGCTCCGGATGTGTTCAAAGATTACCTGGGTCAAAGGTTGGCCACCTTGTGAATACACAAACGCATACAAAGGCCTATGTGCTCTCACACACACACAGACGATTTGTTTCTGTCTTCAAGTCCTATTTAATAATGCTTGTCTCAATGAGGCTTTAATCATCTTGTTGTGGTCCTGTCCATACGCTTGCTCTCTCTCTAGAACTCTGGCTGGTGCGGCACTATAGATTTTCTCCAATAGAGGGAGACAAAGTTCAAGAGACACAGACGTTGAAGCTGGTAGAACATTTCCCACAATGCAGAGGACTTCATCTCTCAGAGATAAGCAGCTGTTTTCCTCTGAGGGTGGGTTTTTCCTCTGGTTTCTATCCAGCCCTAAATGTATATATGTAAAAAAAAAAATAAAAAAAATTAACAGACGCGAAAAGTGAGGTTTCAAACGAAATGGGCTATGTTTGAAGTACTACCATACTACTCACACTATTTTTATGGTACATAGTTTGTATACTGTGGACAGTATGCAAATGTTCAACAGCAGAATGACCATATATGGCAAAATGAGCAGTATACAATAGAGCACACTACAATGAATTCTGCATCCCAAGGACTATCAGCAGCCTTCTTTAACTCTTTTCTTGACTTATAAATGATAGTCCATCTAATTGTTAAGGCATTTTTACACAAAATAAAAAAGTTAATTAATGAATGGATTAATACATTTCCTGGACACCACTTGCTGAATTAAACAAGTAATGCTATGTAACAACAACATGGCACACTACTTAAAAAAAAAAAAAAAGTTCATTGTGCCATAATGCATCACTTTTTATATAATGTACTGGCTGACTCATAGACAGCATATCTGAACACCTCCTCCCCTTTACTTTTTATTTACTTTTTTTGACATTTAATTTTATTTTTTAAATTTGTATTTGTGTTATTACGTGTTATTTTTCCTTTATTTTTATTTTTCCTACATTGTATTGAATGTAATTGGTTTGGGTTTTGTTAATTGGGGTTATAATATAGCAGAATTTATTTGTGCACTTGTTATTCAAAGTACAATATAAATAATAAAATAAATTATATAAAATAATAATTAAAAAAAACATTTTTAAATTAAAAAAAGAAAGAATAAGAAAGTTATAAGCTAGTTTTCGGGTGTGAACAGTATCTTTACACACTACATTTAAAAACATTTCTAGAGATTACACTATATTTTGAATTTTTAAATAAAGAGTGGTTCTGAGAAGTGAGAATGCATAATTTAATGGAGCTGTTTACTTACGTATAGAGAGGCTGCAGCTGTAAGTGAGAACTCTTTTGTGGAGGCTGGTAACTATACGAGTCCAATCCACCAATGAAATCAACTGCAACAGAGAGAGAGGACTCAAAACTCAAACATTTTAATGTCACTGTAATTTACTTTCAGGTTCTAAAAACAGACCAGAATACTTACAGCTGTCCTCATCATCCAGGAAGACTTTACTAACATAGCAAGCATAAACAAATCCAAAGAGCTGAAACGCAGAACAAACTATGTTAAAACCAATCAGTTGTCCTATTTCTCTGCCAAACATTCAGATGCATGTACTTCTGTAAATTTTTTATTTTTTTTTTAAACGCAAGTAATAAAATGTAAGTACTCACTGCAAGAAACACTTGCAAGGCTGAGCTGACCACCTCTATGTATTGGTAGTCCAGCAGGCAGCCACTGACAGTGATCACATGATGATCCTGAGGAGCCAATGGCGAGTCAGGCACTGGAGTAACTAAGCAACCAGGCCCATTCTCCATCCACCAGGAACGATGAAGCGATGTGTTAAATGTCATTAGGAAATCCCTGTCCTACAGCAGAACACAAACAGGATTTAAAAGACAAAAATCCCCTAATCATGAACTCAACATTGACCCTGTAATCCAAATTCTTAGTTTTTCCGAAGAAAAAATGTTTGTGTTCCTTGTGATCTTTAAATATATGAATTTAAAGATTACAAAGAAGCCCTATTATCATTATGGATCAAGTTAACGGATAAACTTCCGCTTTTCAGGATCAATACAATTCCTAATTAACAATATCAAATAAAATGCCCTTTCTCTGATAAATACCGTAGTAAAATGGTTTATGAATGCCATTTCATGATGACTAAGATTAGAGCATAACAAGGCATAAAATCAAACATTTAATCAGACACTTTGGTGTATTTACTTAGTGCTGTCAAACTATTAATAGCATCCAAAATACAGGTTTTTGTTTACATGATATACGTATGTGTGTATACTGTGTATATTTATTATGTATATATAAATACAAACACATGCATGTATATATTTAAGAAATATATGTTATGTTTATATATTAAATATATTTATATATAATATAAAATATAAGAATATAAATGTATATACATGCAAATATTTTCAAAATATATACTGTATGTGTGTGTACACATACATATATTATGTAAACAAAAACTTTTATTTTGGATGCAATTAATCGTTTGACAGCACTAGTATTTACACAATGACTTCTCATAGACTGGAGTCTGGACCAATGCTGTAAATCACCTACCTGTGACAGGTGACCAACTTCCAGGTAAAAACAGATGATGAAAGAGTTCCAGCCAACCCAGACCACAAGCCACACAGCATACTGAAAGTGACAGACACGCATACGAGACATGTAAAGACAATGCAAATAGCAAAACATTTTCATCTGTAGGTGCAAAATGTGAGCAAGGTCTGAAAAGCCTAAAAACAAGCAAAGGATTCAAACTGTCAGGCCTTTCCTGTTATCACTGATTCAGCAGTACAGGTTGCAGTGGACCATTAAACCCACTTAAGCCAATGGCAAATAAATACAAATATTGTCTCCACACACATAGGAGCAATCCCAAAGCTCAGTGCAGCAGCTGTTTCCATGGAAACTGCCTGGAGCCCCAACCCACAGCCCTATGAGAAAAGAGCCCCTTCCTCAGGAGGCCCCTCATCCTCACATGCCTCTAGTCGGTGTGTTACACAAATCATGCATATGCATACATATCTGGGGCATGAAGTTTCTCCAAGAAAAGTTCTGATGGGCTACTCGATTGGCCCCCTAAGAAATGGGAACCAGGACACCTTCTCCCTTGGTTCACCCCTCCCAAATCAGAACCCCTGTCCTCTCACACCATCCCTCTATATGGTTTATGTCCATGTGTTTTTTTTTTCCCCAGTAAAGACTAGGAATACAAATATTGTCTCCACACACATAGGAGCAATCCCAAAGCTCAGTGCAGCAGCTGTTTCCATGGAAACTGCCTGGAGCCCCAACCCACAGCCCTATGAGAAAAGAGCCCCTTCCTCAGGAGGCCCCTCATCCTCACATGCCTCTAGTCGGTGTGTTACACAAATCATGCATATGCATACATATCTGGGGCATGAAGTTTCTCCAAGAGAGCTTATAAAGGATCCTACGGGATGTTGTGTCCCAAATATACACAAACCTACAGCACAAACACACTGCATTAACCTCAAACATAATCATACTGTACAAACACTGCATAAACCACACAAAAACGCCCATACCTGTCAGCAGAACCAACTGCAATCTTACTCCCATCAGGAGACCAAGAGCATCTGAGAAGATTCTAGTGACTTCATTCAAATACATTAAAAAAAAATCATACTAACCCCAAACTTTTGATCTGTAGTGTGTACACAAATGCACGAACACACATTTAGGCTTACCGCTGTTATCCATTGAGTTAGACAGCAGGTAGGACCCATCTGCACTGAGACTCAGACCTGTCACAGAGTCTCCATGACCCTGCATACTGTAAATCAGCTTGTTCTGTCTGAGGTCCCATACCTGCAACATGAAACACATACATACAGGAATAAATATACATACAAGCAAAAGAGCCAAGACATCAATAGCAGAGTATTTGTCGCACACAAACCTTTATGTCGTTGTCGATGCCTCCTGAGATGATCTGGTCACTGGTGTCATTGAATGTCACACTAAGAACCTGATACGTGTTCTGGAATGTGTGAACAGAGGCCTTCTTCCTAATGTCCCACAGCTACAATAACACATGAACAAAAAAGTACTGAAGACACTTTTAGACTATCTGAACACTTTCAAATTCTCTCATGTTATGTCTGTCTATCTAGACATTTCAATCAACATTCAAATGAATAAGCAGCAACCTAAAGACTCACTGTAACAACTATCAAACATTAAAATGTATTTTATTTATTGGCTATATGCCTTTTCATAGGACAGTAGAGGTTTTAGACAAAAAATGGGAATGGGTTTGGGACACGAACCAAAGTCATGAGCATCACACAAACAATTTTCGGTTTCTCTTTTAAACAATAAGGGAGTGCATTCTGACTCTGCCAGTGCTGATGATTTCCTGTTTTGTCTGCAAACTGAGCTGTAGTAATTCAAAGGTGGTGGTGGCATAATGGTTGAAAGATCTAAGCTAATATCTGGGTCAAAGGAAGGATGCAGGAAGGATACAGAATAATTGCTGAATTGCCATCAACATACTCAACCTCTTACAAACCCTCAGACAGCTCCATGACACATTTGATGTGCTCTATGTATGTGCACTGGTCAATGTTTAGATTAATAAAAGTCCATAATAAATCAGTTGTGCCATATAAAGCGATCATTTCTGTTCAGAACACTTGGATTAAACCACTTGATTCATATGGGTTACTTTCACCATGTCTATTTGTACTTTTTGAAGCATGAAAATTTTGGTTGCAAGGACTTTTACAAACTTTTGTCAAGGTAAGTCTTATGGGTTTAGAACAACAAGCATAAGTGATGACAAAATGTTAATTTTTGGGTGAACTATCCCTTTAATATTATAGCCATGTTGCGTTTTAACACAATATGTAATGCTTCAGCTGCACTTCCACTATAACCTTGACCAGACTGAAAATGTAATAGAGTTTTTTTGTTTCATAAAGTCAAGACATGTCACAGACTTCTAAAGAGTTTTGAGTCTAGACTTGGTGGGCTGAATTTACCTTCACAGTTCCATCATCGCTGCCCGTACAGGCCAGCTGTGGTCCGCGCCGAGCCGGAAAACATGAGTTCACGAAGGACGTGTGACCTTTCAGACGCTTCACACGTTCCCCTGTCTCACTGTCCCACACACACACCGTCTTGTCCGTACTGGCTGAAAAGAGCAGACTGGAGGACACAAACACGCTTAGTATGTGATAGAATAATACAAGAATAATATATAAAGCTACAGTATAAAAGTTTAAAATGACAGTGTAAATGAGGCAGGAAGTTTTTAATTTTGCAATTTATGCAAACACACCTGCCATCCGTGTTATAATGAAGCTCCATCACAGCTCCACTGTGGCCTTTAAGTGTTGCATAGTTCTCACAGTCGCCATATACATTCCACAGCACTACAAGAACACAGACATCAGACAGAACCAACAATAGCAATTCAAACACACATGCAAATCAATATTACCTACACATTAAAAAAAAGAATAATATATAATAACAAAATAATAAATGTCAAGTGACTCACAGATGAGACGGTCATATCCAGAGGAGGCTAACGTGGCTCCATTGGGGTGAAATTTGCAGCAGTAAACTTCACCTTCATGACCAGAGAGCAGCATTATAGGAGCCTGCAGACTGGAGCTGCGCGGGGGGCCCTGACATTAACACAAATAGACACACACACACACACACACACACACACACACACAGATAAATGTTTATGCAGGTGCTGTTATAAACACATATAACACAAGCTTGCATGAACACATATTGTAATAATAAAAATAATAGGACCTGTTTTGGTTGTGAACGACCCTTTGTTTTTGGATGAATCGGTTGAAAAACGGATTAAATAAGACTTGTTTCTGTAACATTCAGTAGTATTGTGTTAGATACTGAAAATATTAGAGACTCTTTAAACAAGAAAGCTGCAAAGATTTTAAATTGTTATTTTTATACCCGATTGTATTCAGTTTTTTGTATGAATACTTTAATTTTTAATTTTTGTAGTTGTTTTTCTCTGTAATCTTTGTTTACATAATAGCACAATGTTCGATATCTGAAGTAGAACAAAGGTGTATGTATAGTGTTCAAGTTTATTGAAGAATAACAATAAAACTTTAACATTACTAGTTACTACCTTGGCAACGTAACCTGTAGAAAAATTCACTGAACGAATCGTCTTGGTAATTGATTCAAAAGATTCGAGTCACTACGAATTACTACAACATAGCCAGCATACAAAAGTTTGAGCAGCAGCTAGTCTTTTCCATCTAATTGGGCTCTCAATCTTACCATAGCAGAGAGCTGCTGGGCCTGCGCTGCAGCCACCAGCTCTGTCCGGGGCCTCTTCACTCCGACGGGAACGACTGCCATCTCTGCGCCACGCTTCTTCGGTTCGATCATTGTTGTGGAAAAATACTCAAATCCCGACAATAAACGAAAAACGACCAAAACTATTATCTTCTTTTCAAATGAATGAGTTTTTCGAGCCACCAACCGCTACCGAGCTACACACGCTCGCCGAGTAAAACACATCCGGTAATACGAAGACTTCTGATTGGTTGGCTCACGCACAACGCGATCTTATTGGCTACTGTTAAATCTCTGAACCGGAAGACAATGCACTCACGGAACTCATGCTTCATCCAAACAAAGGGAACGTACTGCTCTAAAAGTATTTACGTTTTGCTTTGGGATGTTTTGCAGCGTTTTAAATAGTAACGATGCTCTCAGTATTTACATTTGACCTTTTTTATTGGATAATGATTTTCGTAATTGAAACTGCGATAATTTAGCACGTGCATATTGCAGTCCTCTTATAGATTGTTTTCAAATTACAGTAAACTGTCCTAGACCTGATCCCATCGGGTAAGTTCATTGATCTTGGCATATTCTCATCAGGCATGAGTTGCATGAACACTAATGATGGCATGTTTAGATGCAGTGGTCAGACTGGATTTGTTTTATGCTCCAGCATGACCAGTTAAAGAACTAGTTACAGACAGATGGCACACCATACGTGTACCTCTCTGCAGGTGTAATGGCAGAGGAGGGGATGAGAGAGCCAGCTGGTCTGGATGGACTGCCACCAATGTACAGCATTCTGAAGGGAGAGGTTAGATTTAAATTCCTATATGCAGAATATAAAATCATATAATATGTCATCTTACTGATTTAATCACCCTCTTGTTTTCTTATTTACTTAGGTAGTTTCTGTTACAACATATGGTGCTTTTGTTAAGATTCCAGGATACAAAAAACAAGGTAAAGTTGGAGAGTTATCAAGATGTGCGTTCTTGTTTAAAGGAAGATGAATACACACATATTTTTATGTTTATTTGTGTTTGCATCATCAGGTCTGGTTCATAAGAGTGAGATGTCGTCCTGTCGGGTGGATAACCCAGCTGAAATTGTTGATGTAGGGGAACAAGTGTGGATAAAAGTCATTGGCAGAGAGGTACATTCAATTTGCATGTACGCAAATACAACAATAACAATGTTGTTTTATACTGTTACCAACCTATTATCATTGCATACACTAAAAGTTAAATTTATGCACTGATTAAACATTGGTTTAGTGTTCTTATAATTCAGATTCAGGATTTTAATCATGCTTTTTGATTTCCATCCACTATCAGATGAAAGATGACAAAGTAAAACTGTCATTCTCTATGAAATCTGTCAATCAAGGCACTGGGCGGGACCTAGACCCCAACAATGTTATAGCAGAGTAAGTGGTTTTATGGTACATGAGTGCAACCAAATGAGCAAACCAAACCCTGTACTCATAGGAGGCCGTCTAAGGTAATTCATAACCATACCAAATTGTGCATAAATAAATATTCACACAGACAGGACGAACGTCGCCGGAGACAGTTTAGAGATCATACTGGGCAGAAGATCACGCTGGAGGCTGTGCTCAACACCACATGCAAAAAGTGTGGCTGCAGAGGTATGATCCTCCAGGTTATGTCAATCTGACCCAGTTCCAGTGTACATTAGACCCTTGCCCCTATTACAGACATTACTACAGTGCCACATCGCCCTTCAGAAATCATTCTAATATGCTGATTTGGTGCTCAATAAATATTTCTTAATACTATTAATGTTGAAAACAGTTGTGTTGCTTAATACTTTTGTGGAAATTGTGATATATTGAGTGTCAGTTTTAGATCTCATGTTCATTGTCTTTACTTGCAGATTGTACTGTTAATCCCTGAGCACCTGTTATGACAGTGTTTATGTCATAATGACCTGTATGTCTGTTTGTATGCAAGGTCACTTTGCAAAGGACTGCTTCTCCCAGCCTGGACTGCAGTACAGTTTAGTGCCAGAAGAAGAGGAGGAGCAGCAGCCGCCACAGACCAGTCAGCAAACCCAATCAGAGCCCCAGAAACGTAAAAAGGTACAGACACACCCCTTTGACAGCAAAATTATTGCGCCAGATGACATGCTGCCTGCAAGCGGTTGTGTAACCCTGCCCGTTTTACTTGTTGCCAACTTCTGCAATAGTTCCCTATTGCGGACGTCTTGATCTGCCTTTCATTTGCAAGCTCATGCTCTTTGCATTTTTCCTGCAGGAAAAGGCGGCAAAGAAAGAAAAGAAGAAGAAGAAAGAGAAGAAAAGAGACAGCTCTTCATCCGATAGCAGCGATGAAGATGCCAAACGGCCACGGCATTCACACACACATTCAGAAAAGAAGAAAAAACACAAGAAGCACAAACATAAGACAAAGTGATTCTTTTGGTTTGCAAAACAGTTGCGATATGCAAGTACAAGCTTGTGCAAGAACTTTTTTTTTTTTGCATCCATATCAAGATTAAATGTATCTGATCGATTTTGGAATGTATTTTTTTGTTAATATTACAAGTTTGACCATTAAACTGGATTTTTTTTATTCTATTGACTGGATTCATGTGTGAAGGTTAAAAGGTTCACTGCGCAACCTCCGAATGGCCTTTCACCCAGAAACACACAGACACAAGGCCCAGTCGCTTGATTTAGAACACATGCACGTCACCCAGCAGACACTGGAACACGCTTAAATTAGAAGGACCTCACGGAAATATAACAGTGTGTAACACATGGCACAGCACTGGAGCACTTGATGGAAATGTTGACACAATAAATTGCACAAGGTCAGTTTGGAGCAAATGTCATTTATTGTAGACCAAAGGCATAAGCCATAACACTGACTGGAGAAGCATATCACACCCAGAATACAAGCTCAAATACAGATCTGGAGGTATGAAGTTGGAATTTTATTCAGTGTTTGAGGAACGGTGCAAATGAAACGGATGAACACCACAGAAAAACCACTGGAAATGTACATAAAAATTGATGAGGACGGGTTGTGACTGAGGTTTCCCTTTATTCTGCCTTTAAATAGTGTCGTGTGGAGACAACGTCGCCAAGTGTCAATGTCTGTTGATAAAAGAGAGAGGTTGGCCTGTTGATATATATTCATTCAGTCAAACACCCATAAATATTGGCATAAGTAATTACTAAATGGGCAGCAGAACATGTTTTGCTCTTGCTGACTGTTCTTATAATTCTGTTCCCAGCCAAAGAGGCACTTACTGTAAGTGCACACAATACTAACCAGAGTTAGGCTGTTGTCATTGACTTCTCGGAGCAGGCTCGTCTCTTTACCGTCCCATTTCTGAACATGAACCAATTTGCCTCCGTCTAAAGTTACCATGGACTGATGGACAAACAGAAACAACAGGGTAAAGGTAATAAGACAAACAGTTCTTACTTGGAAAACGGTCTCATTTTTTTCTCTTGCTACCCGGGAGCAGCGATGAGTGGCGTTTCTATGTCTACAATGAATGATTAACCCGAGGAATGTCACGGGATAGGTCAATCTCCCATTGGGCCTTCTAAGAAACCCTTGTATCCCACCAACAAAACCCTATTGTGTTCAACATCTTTCACCCAATTCACAATGTGTCAGGCATGAAATTCTGCATGCCTTTAGCAATCTCAAAGCACAGGACAACTGAACGTGGGACTAATGCATGCTCTGTGCATATATTACCTTAACTTTGCGGTCATCTGCAGTGGTCTCGTCAAATTCCTCTCCCAGTTTGAAATTGATTTCTGTGGTTTTGAATGTGCTGACGGTCTTAAGTGTGATGACATCACCCTCCATGGAGATGATGGTCGTGGGTTTGGTCATACTGCCAACCTGACGCGTGGCAAAGCCCACGCCTGATAAATAAACATAACACACTTTAGAAGAGGTATGAAGCCATTTCTACAATTCACATGCAGAAGAATTCACATGGACAACATCAAGAACCAAAGACAATTTGGTGTGTACTGTAAATTAGTTAAAAATTATATTAAGTATATTAAATCATATATAAAATATTTACATTTTACAAATTCTAAACATTTCCAAGGAGCTTAATTTAAAAAAAAAAACTAAATATTTTTAAGAGTCAAAGTTACTTTTAAAAGTTGGTCATATACTCTAAATACGCTGAAAAAAACTTTTATAATTACATTTCTTAGGTCCTTAATTTTTTTTTTTTAAGTAAAATAAAATATCTACAGGATTTTATTAAATAGTCTTTAAATATGACATATATTTTCTAATCATTTTAAAATTAAAAATCATTCTAAAAGGGACTGCAATTTATTAGAGAAAATGCAAATGAAGAAAGATCATCTGCATAGCTTAAGGGCAGAATAGTAATAATTAAACAAAGATTGCATATATATATATTCAGGGGTTAGTCACGAATGAACACATGTCTGCAAATAACCAAACTCTGGAACGGTCAAAATGGTCAAATCAACACACGTGCAGTTTTGGGAGAACGCAGCAATTAGTATTGATTTGTTCAGCAAATACTGTGAGGGTGTATGTGTGTGAATGCAGGCAGGGCAGACTCTTCTTTGACCACAGATAAAGAGCGAAAAATCAGGGTTCATTGGAGTTGAAACTGGTTGGTCGAAAGAAAAAACTACCCACTTTGTCTCAACCACACTTGCCTTCCTCCTTCCCTCTATTGCTATCTCCATACAGTTGCATGCTGATTGATTTTCCCCCTTCATCTTCCGCTCTTAAGCTACAAGTCACTCAACATTACTTTAAAATCACAAATACTACACAACTGGCCAATAAATGGCCGGCAAGCATCTCAGAGACATTTCCATATGTTCTGTGTAACAAAACATCAAGGTCATGATAGCCTATATTTCAAGTTCTGTAGGCAGTATTCAATTTTTTTTTCTCAAAAAACAAGTTGGCAAAATAAAGGCCTCATTGTATTTTATACAAGAGAACAGCAGTTGCTCTACAGTCACACGTGGTTGTAGCATAAATCTGTGTGTGTGTGTGTGTGTGTGTGTGTGTGTGTGTGAAAGCACATGTGTGTGTGAGCTTCATCAAGGGAGACCTTCCCTGCACCACATGCACCCCATCTTAAACACACACACACATAGCAGCACATATGCACCTGCACAATGAATACTCCTATTAGTATTAGAAACACACACCCAATTTACATGTGCTTACTTGCATCAAAAGGCACACCCTATGTTTAGCAGTAAAGCAATACACACCGCATACATCCACAGCATCTACCCCCTCCTTACTCACCGAGGGCTTTCATGTAGTCATCGAAATTCTTGCTCTCCTTTAAGTTCCATGTGCCAACAAAAACGTCTGCCATGTTTAGAGCTGAGTGAGAGAACAAGAGCAAAGAATGAGAGTGAGAAAGAAAGAGTGAGTAAGTGAGGAGGGTAAGACAGCACCACTGAGCTCCTGCAATCTTACTGGCTGATTTATAACTGCTGTTTGCGATGTCATCACTACAAGCTTGGGGGGTTGGATGGGGGAGGAGCAATGCCAGGAGAGAAGAGGAGAGATGACAGACAGGAGCAAGGGGGGTCGGAGAGATGGGGAGTTGGGAATTGTAGGAGAATCAGTTGTGAAAGATAGAATAAAGAAAGATGAGGAAGAAAAGGGATGGTGCAAGACATTCGAAAGCATTTTACATTCTCTAGAGTTTCTATATGAATTTGACTTTAAAAATGTCTGTTAAATCAATAAATGTAAATGCATTGGTCCAAAATTGGCTCCCAATTTGGACACTAAAAAAATGGGATGGACTTATATTCAAATTACGGCTGACACAGACAAGACAAGAAATATATTAAAAACCAATAAATAACTGATGTTAAAATTCTATACTATTTTGTCTCAATAAATTTAACAATAAAAAAACTAAAATCCTTTTAAATGCTACAAGTGAATTTAGACATCACAACATTAGAATTTAAAAAGGATGTTCATTTTGAGATTTGCTAAAAATTATATTTAACAGCACTGTTAAACTGTTAATGTTTCAAAATTTTACTTTAAGTGAAAGCAAGGATAATCTAAGTGTAAAAATAGGCAAATGAGCAAGCACTATTAAATCCACCATCGACCCATACACGGGAAAAAAATGGCGTAGAAACAATTTTCAATCAAAAATTGCTATTAAATTTCACAATTATAAAGAAATGACAAATAGCCTAACACACTGTGAATACTTTTTTGTAAAATGTACTGTAATAATGTTTTTTTTACAGTTTAACGTTAACTTGACTAAAATGACTTTAAAAAATGTATAGAAAATAAAATATCTAACTTTACTTTTCTGAGCCAGTATCTACAATAACTTTATCAAATGGTCTGAAGTTGATTTTTAGTGAATGTATAAAGTCAGCTCCCCTATCATTTTGATCAACATATTGATTGTTTTGTCACTGAAAAACTCTTTCTGAGAAATATATACTACAGTTGTTTAAAATAAAAGTTAAAAGTTATAAAATAAAAGACATTCATTCATTTAGCAGAAAGTAAATTGATACACATTCTTTGATGTATTAATAAACATTTTAGAAACACTTACTATTATACAATTAATGTCTAATAAAGGTAGGTTTACAGCACCTAATTGATAGCAATTTAGTATTTTCTGTAACACAACTCCTTTACCACTGTTGTAACAAAGAATAACAAACATTAACTCTTTAAACATGAGCTAATTAAACAACAGATGCTTTATATCAAAAGTGACTATATATATATATATATATATATATATATATATATATAATGCTCTCTTATAGATCAGTGCTTACAACTGAGGCACATTCTAAGCATTATCTAATGCACTGATTCATTTAAAGTGTGGCTTAGAGAGCAAGAAAGGGAGAGAGTGAGAGCGCAGTGTGGACGGGGGAAGGAATGATTGATATGGGGGCCAGGGTCAGGCCATATTCTCTTCTCTCTCTCTCTGTGTCTCTTTCTTTTACAAGCCTCTGAGGACATGACCTTATGTCAGAGGACTCTTTCTCTTTCTTCCCACCCTCTACACTCTTTGATTGGCTGTTCTGCTCAGTAAGAAGCAGTGAAGATCTAGCCGTATCAGCTGCTGTTTGCACAATAATCACCAAAACATTGCACGCTAAACCTCTTCCCCAGCCCATCCTTTGAGCCGCAAGGCTGAATTTACAAGTGTTTGTAAGTGAGGCAGCACGGTCTGAAACGGTCAATCATTTCAGCATGTATATGTGGAACAGTTTTTCCCCAAACAACTGTGAGAAGGGTCTGAATAATAAGATTGCACACAACAAGGTGTGGGGTTAATGCTGAACTCTTGAATTTTTTATAATTTGTAACGTTAGGTTGAAGATTGTTATCAGAGAGCAGCTGTTTTATAGTTCATGAACATTAGACATCTGGTGTAGGTTCTTTTGATCAATAACAGCCTTTAACTAAAACTAAAAGCATTAAAAATCGTTATCAGTAATTAAAATAAAGCTGAAATTGAAAAAAAAAAATGACAAAAGCACATAACAAAATTACTAAGAGAGCATAGATTTAAATGAAAACTGCAAATATAAAAATAAAAGATCATTCAAAATATTAATGAATACTTTAATAGTAGTATATAAATAATAATAAAATAACACTGTAAGTGACTAGGCAAACGACGTCACTAACAACTACCTCTACAATCTATAAAACCCAGTTCATTTCCCTAGAGGTCTTTTTGGAGGAAACGTTCCAGGATTTCCCTGTTTGTACTCATTCCCCTGTGAGAACATGATGTGAAACATTCACACATCCTTTGAAACATGCACCTGTTTGAGCATGTACAAATACACACATACTCACACCCTTCACTTTGTCACCTCTCCCAGATATTTATATTTCATTATCTTTATAGAAATCATACTATACCCCGTCTAATCTGCAGATTATCAACTGACTTTGACCAATTACTGCTTAATTGTATTATAAATGCAAGATAAATCTCTCATAAATTGCAGGTGTGTCAGTATTGACAATGTTCAGGTCTGTGTAACAAATATCCTCCAGAACTGTACGCTCCAAAAAAAAAAAAAAAACTAATTCATTTGCAAATGATAAGAACGATGGTCATTTTTAGTAAAAAAAAAACGTACAAAATACTATAAAGTTTTCGTACGTAGTGTTTGTAGTTGTAGACTCAAGTGGCAAATCAAAGACAATTTGCACTTCACTGACTGTTATAAGTACTCTTCCTGCTCTCCCAGTTTTTCCCGTTGACTTTGGAAGCTTGTGTTACCCATATTAACCAAATGATGTAAAATATAGGCCAGTTCTCTCAAAAGGACTGATGATATAACCTTATGTGTTGCATAACGCCCCTTCTGGAATGATTTATAATATGCAGGTTTTCACCTTATACACTTGGTATTTGAACACACACTCATAAACTGAGTGGACTGTCACTGTGTCTAACCCAACACAAATGTGTGACTAAACACGGTATGCAGAGTTCATGTGTTTTGACATTTGACACAAACAGGTGGTGGAGAGAAACAGGGGAAAAGAGAGAGCGAGTGAGGGAACGAATGAGTGAGCGAGTGAGAGAGCAGTTTTAGAGAAAGAGGTGAGATGTCAACCTCCTTTTAAAACATACAAAACACAGATCATGAAATCAAGGTAAACAAAGTCACAAAACCGGTCACAAATCCAAGCTCTTTTACTACTAACTATAAATACATACATTTCTTGTTGGCATGTCTGTTAGATTCTGGTCGGCAGCATTAAAAATCGTTTTGCAGAGTCGGGAATTCAGCATGGAGGTCTGCTAACTGTTATTAATAACTAATTTTAGTAAACAATAAAAAAATATGCATAAAACAAAATATACTATCCTTTTAGACAGAACAAAGGGTTTTATTATGTATTTGTGCAGTGTAAATCTATAATAACGTGATGCAAAAATATAGTAACGTTAGGCTACTCACGTTTTGTAGTACTGTCCGATAATGAACGCAAATCGCTTACCGATGCAGGCGAACTCGACTTTTGTATTTATGCACAATTACACTAACTTGACTTGTAATCTATCTACATGACGTTCTGCTGGGCTAAATATTTCATTGTCCTTCCAATATTAAAATACAAACTCAATTTGCTACAAGTAGGCCTAAGTGAATGTCAATAATGATTTTAATGGTTTTGCAAATATTAGCATCACAACAAAATAAGTAGGCTAGGCTACTACACGCATGTTTTGTCACTGTGTGAGGCGTAGAAAAACCTGGTAAACTGATTCCGCGCGCCTCTCTTCCCCACTGCCCTCTAATGGACATGTGGATTCAACCCAGAAACACATTTACAGCTGTCCACACACAGCCAGCCAAGCGCAAACATACACACAAAGCAGCGCTGCAGTAACCATGACAATACAGAGAGACCTGCAAACACAAAGTCTTGAGAAGTTTACATTAATTATACCTTTAACCAAAATAAGGAAGCCAACGAATAAAGGGGATAGAGTGGAATAGATGTAGCTATAGGTAAGGCAAAGAATGTGTGCAGAAAAAAAGGATATCAAGGGATTTGGGAACAGCTGATTTATTATATTAAGTTTAATCAATTTCTTTCATTGCATCTGTACTAATTTCACTAGTAAAGACAATCACTAAAATATTCACTAACAGATGTTAAGTTATGATTAACATCATATTCACATCACTTCAACAGTGGCAGAAATGTAAAAAAAATATATATAGGCTAAATGTTATGCAATAGGCTAATATGAATAATAATACATTAAATTTTAGAAGACATAAAGACAAAAAAATAGGCCTAAATAATCCTTGCGAATGTAGGTTTTTGTTAGCCTATATATTTTGTGAGGGCCCGCACTACAGCGAAACACGAAAACCCCTCACTAATATACCCCCCCCCCTGTCTCTGTGTGTGTGTGTGTGTGTTTCAGTTCTCTGTGAGTTACCGGGGAGACGCTCCTGCAGCAGGATGCGGAGTATCCGGTAACGCGCTCGTAGCTTTTCCAAAAGATGCGGCTTCGCGATATCCCCGTGTTACCTCATGTCTGATAGACGCTGATTGAATATCGGCTGGGTGCGCACTGTCCGGTTCAAAGCTTTACATTCAGCGCTGTTTTTTAAACTTTCACGAATCCTCACAGACATTGACAAGTTTCTTTAGAGGTGCGCGTTGATTTCATCATGGCTACAGACTTTTTAACCATTTTGTAAACCCGCCGGACATCTCTGGGACAGTATGGATAGTGAATCAGACTCATGGGTTTATAGATGCACAAATACTGAAGGAACTACGAGCAATGGAACAAAATGACACCGATGTGGAACCAGCGACCGGGGCGAGAGCCACCGAGACCCAGAGGGGGACTGACAGGTGAGTTTGAATTATTAATAAATAAATACATTCAATGAAATGGGGCAGTGACTGTAAACGTTTAACTAGGCCAATTAACTAGTCTACATTTGAAGAATATCCAGACTTTTTCTCGTAACGATTTATTTATCGAACCTATTTTATTTTGCCATTAAATGTATCCAGACAATGAATAAACTAAGTAAATAATAATATATAATAATTTTAATATGCCATTAATAAATTAATTTTTTTCACAGCATAAAATACATTTTCACAAATCAAAATTAAATTAAAAACTTCTTTCAATAGGGCTTTGTGCAAAGTAACAAGAACATAAATTAGGTTTACTAATTAATATACACAGTTAATTAGTTATTTACAATGGCTTTGCTTTGGTAACAGTCCTTTCAAAAAACTTTCTAAGTATTGACGTAAAAGTGAAACAGCATCTTTGACTGCTTTAGGTGTTCAATTTCTTAAAGGCTCCTGACCTGCATCCTTCCACTTTAAGACGTATGTTTAGGGTAAGAAAGAAAGAAAGAAAGAAAGAAAGACAAGCTGCGTCCAGAGTAAAGTGATCCGGCACGATCAGATTTGATCCTTTTCCGTTACCCCTGGAGCATGAGGTGCAATTTGAGAATCTGCATGTCTCGGCATTGCTCCTCAATACACACCTGCTCTTAATTATTAATGTTGCACAGTTCCTCTTTAATTCGCCTGCATAAGCTTTTTTCCCCCTTCAAAATCTGATATTGCAATTTTGTGTGCTGCGCTTTTGATGAACAAAGCATATATTTGGACACATTTCTCTACTAACAAAAAAATAACAGTATACTAAAAATACAGACTGCATCCTCTCATTTTACATGTTTATGTGTTCCAGATCAAAGGATTAAACTGCCAAAATGCCCAAATGCTGCCCCTCGGCAACCTCCTCCGTCTTACCTGCACAGGTCCAGACCCCGAAGGCCTCCCACTGACTTTGGGCCTTCAGAAAGCCCTGTGCATCACTGGGAGGAAGCAGGAGTTCCCAGGGCGAGCGACTACCATGCCAGACATGCAAAATCAAGCCCAGTGCGCCCACGAATCGTGACCGTGGTGCGGCCGTGCGGACAGGAGAGCGTGCGGAAGATCTCTCTGCTGTTAAACCGCCGCGCTGTGCAGACATTCGAGCAGCTGATGGCAGATGTGTCCGAGGCGCTTGGCTTCCCCTGCTGGAACAACGCTCGAATACGACGACTCTTTAGCCCTGCTGGGCGAGAAATCCACAGCCTAGCCGACTTCTTCCGCTTCGACCATGCCTTCTTGGCCTTTGGGAACAGCAGACCGTCTCTTGACGAGGTACATGCAGCACTAGATGAGTTATATCCGGAAAACCCCAAACATTGCGAACACCTGCTGAGAGTATGGGAGCGTATCCTGAGACCCAAGGCCACAAAGGCGGATAGTGGTTTCCATGATGATGACGCCGGAGCCGAGATGTCCTTATCTACGGTACATGATCAACAGGTAAACCAACCGGTTGTCAACAACTTGCAGCCTGTTGGAAGGCAAAAAGAAAAGGTGAAGAGAGAAAGGCAGAGAGAACTGTGGAGGAGGAGAGGCGACCTGCAGAAAGAAGATGAGAAGGAGATAAAGAAGGAGGAAGGAAAGAGAGATGCTGTTTACTGCCGGAGCTGTCGAGGATGCGGCCCTCCTATACCTCCAATCAGAAGCAGTCAATGTTCTCAACCAGACAGGCCAAATAACCACAGTAATAAAAGTACTTCATCTCAGAACAACATGGAAAAAACACAACAAAGATCACTGAAAGCGGACAAGCATGTTGCCAATACAAAATCAAGCCCAACTGTTCCTCAAAACCGGGATAAAGATCTTAATTTGGAGACAATAACGGAGCAGGACATTAATAAGCAGGAAACAGTTGAGCAGAAAGACTTACAGAGTAACTTACTGGCTGATGGGGCAGAAGTGTCGCTGGAGGACATTGAGCACTGCTATGACATGGGCCGTGTGGTAGGAGACGGGAACTTTGCGGTGGTCAGGGAGTGCCGTGTGAGAGGCCTGGCTGAAACGTTCGCAATGAAGATTGTGGACAACGCAAAGCTGCAGGGACGCGGTCACATGATTCAGAATGAGGTCGCTCTGCTGCATAGTTTGGAACATCCTCGGCTCATCCAGCTGTTTCGTTCTCATCACACGGACACCCATGTTTACCTGCTGATGGAGCTGGTGACCGGTGGAGACCTGTTTGATGCCATCACTCAGAGCGGCAGGTTTACTGAGCCAAGTGCTGCATGCATGATCAGAGACGACCTGTTTGATGCCATCACTCAGAGCGGCAGGTTTACTGACCCAAGTGCTGCATGCATGATCAGAGACATCAGTCAGGCTCTGGAATACATCCACAGCAAGAGCATCGCACACCGAGACATTAAACCTGAAAACCTACTGGTAAGAGTTACTCAAGATCAGTGTTATTTTAGTATTATTTAAATATATTTAATATTTTGAATTAGCTTTTTTTATATATTTTCTGTTTTTGTTTTAATTTTAGGAATTTAAAAATATATATTTACACATTTTATAAAACATGAAATATGGAAACAGATAGACTGAAATACTCCAATAAGCTTTCATTTATTTACAATTTTGAAAAATCATTTTTTTGCAGTTTATAAATTGATTAAATTTTTATTTCAGTTATTTTAGTAGCGTTAACTTAACATGAACTATTTCAACTTAAAATCAACTTTCATTTAATTGCTAAGGCAACATCATTTTAGTTTTTAAGTTTACATTTTTCATCTGTTATTTATATTTTATTTCATTTCAACTTTATTTCAGTCACTGAAAATGATTTTTAATAGTTTTAGTTTTAACACTGCTTAACATTAACAACGCTAGAATACAATACAAAAAAGTTAAACATTATTTCATAGACTACCACCATTTTTTATAAATTATAATAGAAACAAATTATATAATATTAATACTAAATACGAGAAAAATTACAAACTAGTTAAAAACATGAGAATCGGATAGGCAAGAGGTGAATCGTTGCAGGTAGCTACATAAGGAATCGGTGAATCATTAATAACGTACATAGTATAGGAACAGGGAATCTTGAGTGTGTTCATTTTCATAAAACATCCAAACAAATCAATGAAATTAAATTGATCTGACTTTCCAACACTACATATGAGGGCAAACTGTTTAAGATTAACCTATTTATTAGAATCGGACTTTTCGACGAGAAGGATTGGTTGGTGAGCACATGCCATTATTCCCTCAACTCTCACACAGCGTGGATACCACCTTTTTTCTTCAACGCGGATATGGGTGAGACTTCCGGTTCATTAGCCGCTATAGGTAAATAAATAACCAGGAGAATAACAACGTGCAGTAAACGGTAAAACTGTTTGCACTACAAACCAGTGTGTTCATAATTAAGATAATACAATAAAATAATATGATAAGACACACCAACTTTCAATATCAAGCAGCAAAACGAACTGTTTTGTTCAGCTAAAAATAGCTGGACGGAGTGGACGCAGATGAGACCGGAAGCCAGACCCATAGAATTTACAAATGGCCACGCCCATTTTTACAGCAAGAAAAAGGTGGATATGTTTATACGTGAAATTCCGGAGGGGATGTCGGATGGCGTCACGTGGGACGTAATGACGTGTGCCATTAATCGAACGATGTACTATAACATGTAAAACGGGAACATGTAAGGACTATTCTAAAAGCAACTCATGTAAACGTAGTCATTGTCCACCCTTTTTTTATCTTCATCATCCTGGTACTGTAGGTGTTGGGACTGAACCAGCTAATATTAATTTCCACTGACAAGGAGCAGGATTGCTTTCTAATTACTGATAGATTTATGATGGTGTTTTGGCTTTCCATGCCTTTTTGCACCTCCCTTTCTTCATGTGTTCAATTCTTTTTTCCCTGTTTCATTCCATTTTATTACACGTAACTTAATTTCTGAGCTTAATTGTTTTGTTTTCTTTGTATGTATGGATCACTTGGGTTTAGGGTTGCAAAGGGG